GTAGATCCGACATCCACGAATCCAGCAGTACAGCAAGCCTAGCGACCCTCCTCCCTTTAAGCGGTAGCAGCAGAGTTCCAACGAACCCAACAACGACGCAAACTGTAAACTTAGGATTGTCAAAATAGCACGACGCATTTCGCTTTCCTTCATAACCCCTTCAGTTGGATCAAGAGTGCACATAACAAACTGAGACTTGGCTATCGAACACCCCTTAAATGGGAAAGAATGTGATGATTTTGCCCCCGATAACTTTATGATGCCATATTTGCCCCCAATGGTTCTTTGAKRACAAACACCCTTATCTCTAGACTTCACGTGCCCTTATGTTTGATTTCGAGTAACACGTTGCCTTGGATAACGCAAATGTAAGCAACTACCATCTTTCATAAATAGAAAGAGACAAATGGAAAACAGACTTTATAAATAGTGTTTCAAAGTATGACAATTGGAGGATTCTTTTTAGCACCAAATCTCTCTCTAAACCTTATTGGGCGCACTTTCTTGTCATAGTCTTTCATCATTCTTCTTTGATAAAGTTGTCCTCTACATAATGTCGACAACCTCTTTTCTTGAACAAAATTTAGCTACTTGTAACGCCTTTGGACGCATTCAACCTCTTGCAACTTAGCTTCCATGAGAACTCTCAATGATGGGATTTCGACTTTAACARGGAGAACTRCTTCCATACCATAGACCAATGAAAACGGAGTTTCTCTAGTTGAGGTACGAACTGAGGTGCGATAACCATGTAGGACAAACAGAAGCATTTCATGCCAATCCATGTTAGTTATAGACATCTTTTCAACAATTCTTTTTATGTTTTTATTGGCAATTCCATTGCATCATTCATCTTTGGTCGGTAAGAGGTTGAATTGACATGTTTGATCTTAAATGTTTGCAAAGCTTGCTCATCAATTTGTTGTTCAAATTTCTTGCATTATCAGAAATTATGGTTTCAGGAATACCATAATGATAAATGATTTCCCTATTGATGACTTTGACTACAACTCCTTTTGTCATATCTCGGTAAGAAGCTGCTTCTACCCACTTGGTAAAATAATTTATGGCTACCAAAATAAACTGATGCCCATTTGATGCTTTAGGTTCGATAGGACCTATGACGTCCATGCCCCTYATAGAGAAGGGCCAAGGGACAGTCAAAGTATGCAAATGAGAAGTTTGAGCATGGACCTTGTCCGAATAAATTTGACATTTGTGATATTTTCTTGCATATTTGATGCAATCTATCTCCATAGTCAACCAATAATAGTTGGCTCTTAAAATTTGTCTGTACATCATATGCCTATTTGCATGAGTGCCACAAACTCATTCATGGATTTCCTTCATAATCATATTGGCTTATCTTCCTTTGACGCATCTTAGGAGAACCATCTCATGGTTTCTCTTGTACAATAGTTCTCCATTTAAGAAAAACTTCATTATATTGCCAGCTTGCGGAGGGTGCGCTTATCATTTTTCGAAGCATTGGATGGATATTCTTGATGTATTGCTTGATGCCATGAAACCAAGGGTTGCCATCAACTTCTTCCTCAATGCTCATACAAGAAGTTGGGACATCTCTCCGCTCAATTTTAATTGGACGGACCTCCTCATTGGGTTCTAAATTGAACATGACTACTAATGTGGCCAATGCATCTACTATTTGATTATTTTCTCTTGGCAAATAATCAAATGAGATTTCATTAAACTCTTGTGACAATTCTGTTATGAGTTGTTTGTAAGGTCATAACTTGGCATATCTTGTTTCTCATTCTCCTCTTAACTGATGAATTACAAGCATAGAATTCCCCAAAACTTTGAGTTTCTTGACCTTCATATCAACAGTAGCTTGAACACCCATGGAGCATGCTTTATACTTAGTTATATTATGTATGCAATCAAAACATAACCTGGCGGTGAAAGGGAATAGATTCCCTTCGGGCGATATCAGTATAGCCCCTATCTCATGACCTAGCTCGTTAGAAGYACCATCAAACATCATGGTCCATGTTTGTGGGTCTAAACTTTCCTCAMTTGTGGTTATAGTAGAAATATACTCATCTAGGAAGTCGAACTTCATTGATTCGTAGTCATTTATAGGTTGTTGAGCCAGGTAGTCGGCCAAAGTGCTCCCTTTAATTGCCTTTTGAGTCACATAGACAATATTGTATTCAGACAAAAGTACCTGACACCTAGCAATTCGACCTGAGAGTGACGGCTTTTCAAAGATGTACTTTATGGCTTTTCAAAAATGTACTTTATGTGGTTTATCTTTGAAATGAGTCATGTTATATAATACAACATGTATTGTCTTAGATATTGGGCAACCCAAGCTAAAACGCAACAAGTTTTTTCTACTAGAGAGTATCTAGTCTCGCAATCAGTGAACTTCTTACATAAATAATATTTGGCATGCGCTTTCCTCCCTGAATCATCATGTTGCCCCAGTACATATCTCATTGAGTTTGTGATATGTGAAATGTGTTCTGCATTTGTATGGTAGTCGTACTATAATATAGTTAGTTTACGCGAGTTTGATACGTTTCTTTTTAATAGTTAGTTTGGATAAGTTAGTAGAATTTTAAGTGATGAGATTAGATGAGTTGGACACTTTGTTTAAAGGTTAGTTTGAGTGAGTTTATGGCGCGCGAAGTGACTTAGCTCTTTTTTTCTATTGGCTTTTGAAGTAGTTTTGGTAAGTTTTATAGCATGGATCACATTGTTGCCACTAAAATACTATTGTAGTTTATAATTGTAGGTAGTTGTCCAGTGAGATTAGTCGAGATGCGTGCAAGCTGGTCTGGACACTCACGGATATCAAAAAAA